AGTCAACATCCGCGCTCGTAAAGTCACGAGCCGATGTAACCCTACGCCATTTGATTTATCAGTGCGTTTAAGTTAGACGGGACTTTTTTTTTCTCCACAAGCCGTACGGACTTAATCGAAAAGTACACATTTAGAAGAAAAAAAACTCGAGTTGGTGAATCGCTGTCATGTTTATAGTGCTAATGCTGGTCGGTTTTTTTTTGCTTACTGTAAACAGGGCGGGAGTTGAGGATAACGGACTGATAATGAGTTTATGCGTGTGTGTGTGTGTGTGTGGGGGGGGGGGGAGGTAGGAGTGGATATGGAGGGGGTCAGGAGGGCAGTACTTGTAGAAACGACAAAAAATGAGGCCAAATAAGAGTTTAGGTGACGGCAGAGGCGTAGCGAGGGGTGGGGGGGGGGGGGGTGCGGACCGCACCGGGTGACACCATTTAGGGGGGTGATATATAGAGAAAACTTTGAGGGGAGTGGGTGCAAATCGAAAGTTTGAGGGGGGGGGGGGTGCAAATCGAAAATGTGTCCCCGGGAAGGGTCGCTGCGCCTCTGGGTGGGTGACACCATTAAGTGCAGCACCGGTTGACACCCGACCTCGCTACGCCACTGGGTGACTACGTTGCCGAGGGGTAGAGCGCTAGTTGCAAGTTCGGATCCCGGGTTCGAATCCGTATGACGTCTCCGAGTCCACCCATATCTGATAGGGCCTTACGTACTTTAGGGAAAGTAAAGGCGGCTAGGCATAGGACTGAACATACTATCCTTTCATCTGCCGAGGTCACATAAACAGGTGAACTCTACTTCACTTGCCCTCGGGGGGTCTTCAGGTTCGAAAACGAACTTCAATTTTTTTTTGTCAGAAAAAAAAATGTATACAGCGAAGAAAAGGTCTGTATGTAGAGGTAGGCTGTAGTACACACTCTGCTATTGAAAGAAAAACTTAGAAAAAATTTAGTCCACTTGTGAAGTAACTTTTGAAAACTATGAGATTGTTCATTGACTTTATGGACTAAACGTCACAATAACCCAATTTGGGCTCTCAATTGCACACTTGCTAAAATCTTGCAATCAGGTATTGCTTTCAGAATTATTTTTCCCCGGAGGAAAGATGGAACCTGAAACTTTTGTTTCGTATATATTTTCCTTATAACATATCTTTGTCTATTACGTACAGGGAGGGGGGGGGGTGAACGTGTATGAGGAAGAGTGCGGACTTTTATTTTTATTTTCTAGCACCTGCGAAACGTGACACAAAAGTTGTACAATTGTGTCACATCGGAGACCCAGTTTGGAAACCACCTTATTAACCTTTACCTTAAACCTGGAGAGATAAACCTCTGTGAATTTTATTTTTGTCTTTATCTGAGGAGACGCGGAAGGAGAAAATAACTCTTAATTTTTTTTTTTTATAAATGAAAGACGGTTATCTTTGAAGTTAAATACTATCAGACCAAAGGGGGACTATCGCGTTGGCGATTGAAGTCATTGACGTGAAACAATGGCCCTCATCGTGTGGAGTTAAAAAGTTAAAAAGCTGAAGAGCTCTTATAGACATAGTTAGGTGGAGCTTGAGTTCAATGTGGCAATGGTATACAGTTCCCTAATATTTAATGGTATACAGTTCCCTAATGTTCCAATGGTATACAGTTCCCTAATGTTTAATGGTATACAGTTCCCTAATGTTCCAATGGTATACAGATCCCTATTGGAACCTTACGTTCCATGCGGAGTTTCTTCCAGCATCTCTTGGGGGAGGGGGGGGGGAACTCCTACCGCCCCGCGAACGGAATATAATTTATATAAAAAATATACACTTTAACCAGTGTCCTAGCCCTAACCCAGAGAGAAAAAAAAGTCTGGAAGAAACACTGATTCCATGGGGGCAAGTGTAGTAGAGTTCTTCTGCTTCTGTGACCTCGGCATATCAAAGGATAGTGTGGTCAGCACTATGCCCAGCCGCCTTTTACTTTCCACAACATGAGTAAGGTCAGAGGCGTAGCGAGGGGGGGGGGCGGAGGGTGCGGACCGCCGCACCGGGTGACACCATTTAGGGGGGGGGGTGACACCAAGGCAAAAAATAGCAAAATATATAGAGAAAAACTTGAGGGGGGGGAATCGAAAACTTGAGGGGGTGCAAAATCGAAAGTTTGAGGGGGGGGGTGGTGGAAATCGAAAGTTTGAGGGGGGTTGGAAATCGAAAACTTGAGGGGGGGGGGTGCAAATCGAAAGTTTGGGGGGGTGGAAATCGAAAATTTGAAAGTTTGTCCCCGGGAAGGGTCGCTACGTCTCTTAGGGGTGACACCATTAAGTGCCGCGCCGGGTGACACCCGACCTCGCTACGCCACTGAGTAAGGTACCCACCAGAGCTGGGTGGACTCAATGACGTTTCTTATGATTCGGACCTGAGATTTTTCGAGTACACAGAGGCAACATGAAAACATGGAGACTTTTTGAATAGCTTGTTGTTTCGGGTCATTTGTAGGTTAGGCTAGTATAGGCAAGAATTGTGTATAACTTAGGGGATGGTGCATGTGTGAGTTGAGGTAACCCCGGTGTGGTTATGTGTTGTGATCACAATGTCGAATGCGGATATAAGAAGGTGTGTGAACGGTTGTGAGGAGGGAGTGTAGGTGGTTAAGTAGTGGGTGGAGATTATTGACAGCTGATAGTACTAGAGAGTGGAATGCGGATTGCGAGTGTGTAAACAAGAGGAATAAACACGCTAGAAACTACCAGTGGGAGTGACGTGTTCTTGTGTGCTTTGGTCAGTGTGCTGTGAATAATAGTCGACCACAACACCTTATGGCCAGTATGAAGATAAAAAAGTAAAGATTCCTCTTTAGACCTAATGATCCATTGGGCAGATGAAGTGGAGTTCATATGTTTCTTGACCTCGGGATATAAAGGGATAATGTGGTCAGCCGCCTTTACTTTATCATCAGAGTTGGGTGGAATCAGGGACGTTCCACTAACTTGAACCGGGATTCGAACTCGAACCTATCGGGTTAGTAATCTAGCGCTCAGTATGGGGATAAGTAGAAGAAAACACCGGCTTGAACTACAATCAACTTCAACTCTTGTCACTAGGTAAAGAGTAAAACAAAATATAAATCCTCTTTTTATCAAATTTTCAAAGTTCGATGTGTCCGAATATTTCAGCTAAGATTCCAAAATTTTAAAATATCTAATCTAATTGATTTAAAGGTAACTAAATTTATTAATCTTATCACGTACATGATTAAGAAAACGTGCGGCCACTTCGACTTTTTGGGGATTGTGTAGGCGGGCTTAAACGATTGGACATAAAGCCCCTGGATGTAAACCCTTGACAAAAACCCAGAACAACCCTAGGATATAAACGCTGGACAGAAAACTTCACATAAACCACATAGTTATAAGCCCCATAGACTTACACCACATACATTCCATAACCCTCCCGGACATACACTCTACATATATTCCACACCCCCCTCCCCTCACCCATGAAAAATAATCTTGATCCGACCCCCTGCAAAATAGCCCCTGGATATAAGCCTACCCACCACCCCCCTCTCACTGTACATAACAATGGCACGACATATCCTTGCTGTAGAGCCCTTGTCTGCTAACCCGAAAGTCTCGAGCTTGAATCCTGGTTCAAGTCAGTAGAACGTCCCTGAGTCCACCCAGCTCTGATGGGTACCTAACTCACGTTAGGGAAAGTAAAGACAGAGCTGAACACATTATCCCTTCATATTCCAATTTCCAGATACACATGAACTCTACTTGAACTGCCCAATAGCTCGCGAAGTCTTAAGAGGTATCTTTACTTTTACAGTACATTTCTTCCATAAAACCCCTGGACATACCCCCCCTTGATAAAATACCTTGACCCCAACCCCTGCTCATAGTCCCTACATTCACCACAAACCTTCCATAACCTTCTCGATACCCCCCCCCCCCTCCACATATCTTCCATAACCCCCCGGGAACAAACTCTTTTGACATAAATATCTTGGATTTAAAAAAAAGCAACTCTGGACGCACCGTCTAACACATTCACTGTCATGAAACAGCGACACCCAGTTCTGCTATCCCCCCCCCCCCTCTAAACATGAGGGGGAGGGTGTCTTTCATTTTAAAAATCTCATAAATATACAGTGATGATGTGTAATTTTTGTAACGATGAGTAGAATAACACAGTTCGTCCAGTGCTAGATAGTATAAAACAGTGTTATATATCAAAGGCATTTCATAGATATTTATCATAGGTGTGTCAATGTTGTATCGGTGTTCGTATCGAAACTGTATTAGGATAACATTTGAATTATTTCAATTGTAGAGGATTTACTGAAACATTATTTCTTGTCAAATGACCAAGTAAGGGGACTGAATAACGATAAAATTTTATACTACTGGGTAAAAAATAGATGAGGCAACGAGAAGAAACCCGTACACAAAAAAGTCAAACTTTTTAGTTTATCCGTTTAATGTCTTCGTGTCTAGTCCAAACAATGTTAATATCCAGTTCGTTGCGTGCTTTAGATCACCCTCAGGGGAAAGAAATCCTTCAAGGGATGTAACTCTTTAAAAAAAATCTTTAAAAAAATATAATGCGATAAAATCTTTTTTTCTTACCTGATGGAATGATAAAAGGGATTAGTAAATATTAAAAAAAAAACAAAATATGTGTTTTTTTACATATTATGTTTTACATTACATGTTTGATCACCATAATCTTTTTATTTTCTTGCCTAAGACACATAGTGCACATTAATTCGAGTTTATTTGTTTTATTGTCTTGGACACGCAATAATTTATCTAGCGAGAGTTGAGTATCCACAAGAGCTGGGTGGACTCAGGGGGAAGTATTGCAAACTTGAACCCGCGATTCAAACTCGAAACTTTCGAGTTAGCTGTTGCCAACTCTACCTTCTGACCACAGCGCTCCGTTGTATAATTAATATACATATTATAGCGCCTTGAGTTTGAGTTGTTTTTGACTGAAGTTCATACTTTATCTTCAGGTTAGGTCTTCCGTGGATGTTATAAAACTACAACTTAAAAACAAAGAAACAAAAAACTCAAGAGAGTGAACAAGGACAAACATGATCCAACGGCACTGGGTGAGCACACATTTCAAGCTTTGGATCCTCACGTGCATCACTGGGCTACTGCTGACCGGCTCAAAGGTGAGTACCTCTTGGTCTTAAAATTATTTTAAAAAATGTTTTTTTTAAAGATGATCTTCTGTCTTCTTCTTCGTTCTTAATTGAAACGTTTGAGGGAATTCCCTCCAACACATTTAAGTTACGTGTCAACATGTCAGTGGCGTAGCCAGGATCGTCTCATGGGGGGGGGGGGGGGGGTTAACCCCCTCTAACTCACCTGCCTACACCACTGCAACATGTTATGTGCCATATGGCTCGGTGACTTCGATTTCAGCCAGCTTTTCTTCCTGGATTTGCTCCCGTATCCTTTTTGTTTGATTTTGGGGTTTTCTCTCCTAGAAAGTTATAAGTTAGCTAACGTAAATAATAGCAGTGGCGTCGTTAGGTCGGGTGTCACCTGTGTGTCACCCCCCCCCCATAACAAAGTATATATATATATATATATATATATATATATATATATATATATATATATATATATATATATATGGGTCCATGGGAGGGGGTTATAATCCCCCTAACCGCATTGCCTACGCCACTGATATACGTATATATAATGTGTGTGTGTGTATGTGTGTGGATAAATAAGATAAAATGCCTAACGGGTTGGTAGGATTGACAAAAGGGCAATTAATAAAATTAAACAGCGAAAGATTAAATTTTGCAGCAATTTAGGGTTTTTTAGTTATAAATTCTCCTACCAATAAAAGAAAAAAAAAGAAAAAAGGGATATAACTTTATACTTAAAGTACACAAACGAACACATTGAACAAGGGCATGGTTTAATTAGCAAATTTTGTCAGTTGGAAAAAAAATATTAAAATATTTATCTTACAATATAATAAGGTTTTGGAAACAGACAGTTATGTTGTTTAATTTTGTAAAAATATATTTAAATTTGAGCTGTATTGAAAGTATTTAGACATTAATGAGTACAGGGAAATTTATGGTATATGAATGATCGCTTTCAAAATTGTATGATGTTTCATTAGTTATTCTGTAAAAGAAATTTTGGATTCCTACTCGGGGACACGCATAAAATATAATAGAAATATAGTTCACTCTGCACTACAACAAAAGAGTGTTCTGACACAGTGGCGTCGCTAAGTCGGGTGTCACCCTGTGCGGCACCTCGTGGTGTCGACCTCCGGATTAGTATATATATATATATATATATATATATATATATATATATATATATATATATATATATATATATATATATATATATATATATATATATATATACATATATATATATATATATACATATATATATATATATATACATATATATATACATATATATATATATATATATACATATATATATACATATATATATATATATATATATATATATATATATATATATATATATATATATATATATATGTGTGTGTGTGTGTGTGATTGTGTGTGTGTGATTGTGTGTTTATTTGTAAGTGTATAGGCCTACATAAACCTATGCTTTAAATATATGCCACACACGCGTACATGTATGCTTATAAGGTTTAATCACTGCAGACTTAATAGTAACGATATTTTTCTGTATTTTGTTAATAATACAGTTGGATGTGGCATTGTTACAGCTAGCCTAGTTATGTCAAATTGTCACCCCACCCCCTAGTAATAATTATCGCATTGTACTTAAAATACTAACATTAATTAATTATTAATGTAACTGGCAAAAAGCATTTTTCTGTACATCTTGCAATTTTTTGACTTGGTGTCACCCCCCCCCCCCCCAAATGGTGTCACCCGGTGTGGCCCGCATCCTCCGACCCGCCCTTGCTAGGCCTCTAAATAAAAGTATTTGAAATTGTCTTTGAGTATTAAGGATTTAACAAAAACAAATCTATCTTATTCTTTTGGCAACGATTTTTTCAATGTGGCAACCCTGCCCACATCGCGCCGCTGGTAAAAAAAAAACCCACTTGAGCCAGACACTATTTTTTTTATCTGGCGAGATTAAAGCGACTCTTGACTTCCAGGTGTGTTTGTTTACTGTAACAATAGCACCTGTTGGATCACGTGAACAATGATGACGCGCCAAGGGGGAACAATTACCTAGGGTTGCGAATAAATAAAAACGGCCGAAGGGAGGTAATTGCGGGGGTTGTCTTACATTACAAGATACCGCCATGGCACTTATGACGCAGACAGGTGTGGGGGTGTAGTTAAGTATTTCGGGATGGACGCCGTACATGAAATTTGTTTTAGGGCTGTTGGAAAGACAAGATTATATATATGGGAACAGGGCATTACCCCCCGTCAATTACCGCCGGACGTTTCCCCCTCGTAATTACTCCCCCCCCTTCGAAGTAATTACCCCCTGTCAATTACCCCCCCCCCCCTAACCCAGTAGTACATTACCCCCCCCCCCCCCCCGTTAGCGTAGCTTAAGGTTCTGCTAGGGTTAGAGCCAGGGTTTGAGTTTGGGCTAGGTCTAGGGTTAGGGTTAGGGTTAGTGTTAGGGCTAGGGCCAGGGCTAGGGCTATGGTCAGGGCTAAGGCTAGGGTTAGCTTTAGGGTTAGGGCTAGGGTCAGGGCCAGGGCTAGGGCTATGGTCAGGGCTAAGGCTAGGGTTAGCTTTAGGGTTAGGGCTAGGGTCAGTGTTAGGATCAGGGTTACGCTTAAATCAATGTCTAGAGTTGGTTTTGGGTTAATTTTAGGGTGAGTTGAATTCATAGGTTTTTCGTCTTTGTTAGGATTAAGGTAATATATAGGTATAGAGTTGGAGTTAGAATCAGGATTCTATCTTGGTGGATCGGGGTGGATGGGGGTGGGGAGTAATCCCCCAGGGGGGTAATTGACAGGGGGTATTTGCTCCGGGGGTAAAATACGGGGGGATGTCCGGGGGGGGGGGGAATGTCCGGGGGGGGGGGGGGAATGTCCGGGGGGGGGGGAATGTCCGGGGGGGGTAATGTCCTGTAGCCGATTATATATAAAAAATGGCACTTGTTTGATATCCGACAAAGCAATACAATAACGAATGGGTAGTTAAGTTGCTTGGTAAGTATTACAACCAATATTCACTCTAAGGGGAAAATACTAGCGTGCAACTGTATTTTGAGTGCGCGGTGTTCTAAAAATCTTATTCTAGAAAATGACTGCGCGGAAGGTTCAAAACTACTGCGCGGCCGCACAATCGCGCAGCCGCGGAGCTTAGAGGGGATACTGATTACAACCACCCTCAGCAGATCACTGCACTCTTGCCAAACTTGGTGCTTGCGAAGGATAAAAGGCATTCTCTGGCTTAACGCTATTTCCAATGATATACTAGGAGAGATGGAAAATGGAAGCAGTTTCCCAAATAACAAAAAAAAAGTAAGAAAATGGCGTAAGTCTTAAAATGAATCCAGATGACATCGCAGGAATGGCGCTAAACTGGACGCCTCAAAGAAAAAGAAAGAATGGAAGGCCAAATGAGATGTGGATGCGCACAACGGGGAAGCAGCTGGCAGAGGCAGGACTGTCATGGGGGACTGACTGGAAGCAGCTGACAGAGGCAGGACTGTCATGGGGGACTGACAGGAAGCAGCTGACAGAGGCAGGACTGTCATGGGGGACTGACAGGAAGCAGCTGACAGAGGCAGGACTGTCATGGGGGACTGTCAGGAAGCAGCTGGCAGAGGTAGGACTGTCATGGGGGACTAACAGGAAGCAGCTGACAGAGGCAGGACTGTCATGGGGGACTAACAGGAAGCAGCTGGCAGAGGCAGAACTGTCATGAGGGACTGCCAGGAAAATTGCCGGAGACTGACAAAAGTGGAGGGAGTTTTCTCTGGCGGCCCCATCTGTCTTGGGCAAAAAAGGAAAACGTTGATGAATTAATGAGTCTGCGTTTGACGCTGGTTAGGGCTGGGTAGAGAGTTAGGGTAAGCTGTTCGGCGAGGGTTAGGATGAGTTCCCTTTTCAAACCTGACGGTCTACGGGGCAAGTGAAGTAGAGTTCCTTTGTTTCTGTGACCTCGGCATATGAAGAGATAGTGTGGTCAGCACTATGCCCAGCCGCATTTACTTTCCCTAACGTGAGTTAGGTACCCATCAGAGTTGGGTGGACTCAGGGACGGTCTACTGACTTGAACCCGGATTCGAAATCGAAACTTACGGGTTAGCAGTCCAGCTCTCTACAGCTCGGCCACTCCGTTAGGATGAGAACAGCTGTAGAGTCGCTCAACAACAGTTTTATTGAGACATGGGGGTAAGCATGACTTCAACGTGACACGGGCGCTCTAGAAAAATTTGCGTGACACCCGAACTCATTTCGTTCGGAGTGGGGTGGGCGAGGGGTGGGTGGGGGTTGGGGCGTGGGGTGAGGGTGTGTGTGTGGTGTGGTGGAGGGCGTGGCGTGAGGGTGTGTGTGTGGTGTGGTGGAGGGCGTGGCGTGAGGGTGTGTGTGTTGTGTGGTGTGGTGGGGCTTGAAACTTCTATGGCAGGTTTAGACAAAGGTTAAAAAATATTTTCTTTTTTCGTTTTATTATATTTTCTATTTAGTTAGGTAACGGAGAGGGGTGGGGGGGGGGGGGATAGGCACTTGCCTCTGAACCTACGGCTCCCAGAGTTTCTTCCAGGCATCTCTTCGGGGGGGGGGGGGGGGGGCTCCATGAGTTCTGGGTAGCGACATAAAAAGAGGTTGATTTAAATCTACATTTGACTTCGGACATTTTAAATTTTACCCCCCTCCCCCTCCCTTCCCGCTGAGCTTTCAAGACTGAGACTTAACTACAATACTGCACAAGATATCTCCACTTCACGTCTGTAAATCTCTAAACAAACATCGCCCCACACTCCCAGTAGAATTTAGTGATACTCGCACTAATCACTTTTAACAGCAGGGATTTTCACCCTCTCCCCATGCGTGCATGACAGTCGCAATTTTATACTGCTAGGAAACGCAAAAAAAAAAAAAAAGGTTAGTCGGGAGAGTATGGTAATTGCGGCGACCTTTTGAAAAAAAAAAAACACAACAAAAATTTTCCCATTGTCTTGTTTTGAAGATGGTTTTGTCCGCGCGAAT